TGTTTATCCTTGTTTACGTGATTTCAAGCCTAACAAATTTTCTCTCCCATGCATTTTTTTGGGATATAGTCCCTCATATAAAGGATTTCGTTGCCTAGATCATACCACCTCTAGAATATACATCACTTGACATGCACAATTTGATGAACATCACTTTTCCTCTTTAGAAACCTCTCATGCTCAACCTCTCTCATCTCTCCATTTTTCCAGTTTTCTTGAGCCTGTCTCATCCCATACAAAACCATCTCCCCTTGAGCACCAACTTCCTTCCGTTACTATATCCAGATCTAACCTATGTGTTATTTATACTGACCCAATGGGTAAGTCTGTGCAGGTTGCTAACTCTAATGCAGGTTCTACTTTGGTCCACTCGGCCCCCAGACAATCCCCTGTTGAGTCAGACACCGCTCCTCAAGTCCATGATCTCACTCCAGCTCCAGCTCCGGCACCTCCATCAGGATCTTACCCTATGATTACATGAGCCAAGGCTAGTATTTTCAAAACCCGCCATTCGGCTAATATTGGCACCTTGGGTTCTTCTGGTCTTCTTTGTGCTTTTCTTACCTCTACTGAGCTTAAAGGTTTCAAATCTGCTGCAAAGAATCCTGCGTGGTTTGCTGCCTTGGATGAAGAAATGCAAGCCTTGCAAAACAACCGTACCTAGATTTTGGTCCCTAGGCCTGCTAACACCAACATTGTGGGCTCCAAATGGGTATTTAGGACCAAATTTTTGTCTGATGGATCCATCGAGCGTCTCAAAGCTCGTCTTGTTGCTAAGGGTTACACACAGAAACCTAGTCTCGACTACAATGATACCTTCAGTCTTGTTATTAAGGCTTCCACTGTTCGCGTTGTACTCTCTATTGCTATGTCTAACAAATGGCCCCTTCACCAGCTTGATATTAAGAATGCGTTTCTCAATGGCACTCTTGCTGAGCATGTTTACATGGAGCAACCTCCCAGATATATTGATCCACGCTTTCCTAATCATGTCTGTCAGTTGAAAAAAGCTATCTATGGTCTAAAGCAGGCGCCTCGTGCTTGGTTCCAACGCTTCAATTCCTTCCTTACTCAACTTGGATTTTCTTGTAGTCGAGCTGACACTTCGCTATTTTTCTTCCATAAGCACTTTGATATCATTTATTTGCTCCTCTATGTTGATGATATTATTATCACTGGCAACAATCCATCTCTCATCCACAGATTCAATTGCAAACTTAATTCCGAGTTTCCTACTAAGGATTTGGGTCATCTTAGCTACTTCCTTGGCCTTGAAGCCTGAACAACTACAAACGATCTATTTATCAGTCAGCTGAAATATGCACGGGACATTCTTACTCGAGCTCAGTTACTTGATAGCAAACCAGTCCATACCTCTATGGTTGTTTCTTAGCACCCGTCTGCAAACAGTACTCTTTTCTCAAATCAAACTCTTCACAGATCTCTGGTTGGCGCCCTTCAATACTTAACTATCACGCACTCAGATATTGCTCATGTTGTCAACTCTATGAGTCAATTTCTACATGCTCCAACAACAGACCATTTTCTTGCAGTTAAGCGTATTCTTCGCTATATCAAAGGCACCTTTCATTTCGGCCTCATCTTCCACCCTTCTACTACTCCTAGTACCCTCATTGCTTACTCTGATACTGATTGGGCAGGATGCCCCGATACTCATCAGTCTACCTCTGGTTATTCCATCTATCTTGGTGGAAATTTGGTTTCTTGGAGTACTAAGAAGCAATTCACAATCTTCTAGCTGTGAGTCTGAATATCGTGCCCTTGCACACACTGTCGCTAACCTTCTTCGGCTTACACACCTTCTTAAGGACTTACTAGTATTACTTCCACAGTGGCCCTTTCTTCTATGTGACAACAAAAGTGCCATATTTCTGAGCTCCAATCTTGTTTCTCACAAACGGGCCAAACATGTTGAATTAGACTACCACTTTCTTCATGAACCTGAAAACTTCAGACTCAATTCGTCCCTTCTCACCTACAGGTTGCCGACATCTTCACCAAAAGTATCCCTCGACCTCTTTTCGAATTCTTTCGATCCAGGCTTCACATCCTTTCTAATCTGATGCCCAGCTTCCGAGAGGTGGGAGTGTTGGATAATTTGCCTCAATCTAAGGCATAATATATGTAATAAAATTGACTCCATTATTCTAGCCTAATTCTGTGATATTCTTTCCATTATTTCCATTGTAATTTGTATGTAATTACTCTATATTGATTTGTAAGGCTTCTTGTATATCAATATAAATTAACTCACTCACCATCACTAAAAGCTGTGAGGTGATTTATTCTTCAAAGAGTCTTAGAGGAAGGATCAAGTCAGCTGTACATGAATACTGTTAATCAGGTCAACACATCTGTCCATTCATCATGTGATCTGATTAGAGTCTCTCTTTAGGTGATCGTGATCACAACATAGTACGAAGTTATTCCTCTTAATGATCTGGCCCGAAGAGCAGATGTCAGCTATATCCCACTGCAAAGTCAACATGTCCTACTGGAAAGCCCTAATGTGTGTATAGATATTGATCTCGAGGTTTATCTTATGTCCATGAGCCAAATGATATAAAAAGATGAGTGTATTGTAGGACGATTATTACCTTAAAATTCACTGGATCTTTCATGTTGAATAATAAAAAAATACATGAATTATAGCAGAAGAGTACCTGATTAATTGCAACAGTTGAATCCTGTGTTTTAGTCTTCCAAATCTATACACAGCCCGTAATTCTCTCTGGCGATGGGAGGCAGAACTGAATGAGCAAATACCTACGTGTGATTTGAGGACCATAATCATATTTATATAGTGATGCCCTTTGACCTAATTTGACCCATCAGAACCGATCTCTACACATAAAATACCCACACTTTAATTGGATGCTTTAAAGCCCAAAATACCGAAGTCTTATTGGATCACTTTTAACTGGGTTTAACCGAATTTGATAGTTTTAATTTAAAACACAACAATTTACACATATAAGCCCACACGATCATTTAAAATTCCTCACATGTATATCTATAGATTTTTACTACGAAAGGTTGAAAATTAAAGCTAGCTACCTAATGCATTATCTTTCAAATCGACTCTTTTTCATCTTCCTCACACTGGGTTGACTTCTTCCATTCGTGGGGAGATTGTTAAAGATAAGTTTTATATAATGGTTTGTATGTGTGAATTGAAATAAGTCTCTAAAGCGTAATGACTGGATGTGATTTTCCCATGCAAATCAAAAAGCAATGGTTTTGATATGGTGCAATTTAGACCTCCTAATAAATTCGCCATCCAATAAGGTGTTACCTAATAATTCTTGTAGATTCGTGCTAACAGGTGCACTAATTCAAAATAAACACATGGATTCTATAAACTGAACCCATTTCGTTCGATTTTTCTGCATCCCACACAGCTTTAATTGATTTCGAAATTCTTCTCTCCTAAATTAAGTCCACATAATTTTTGTGTTTGTCGTAAATTCGAATCTTTGAGCTTTCAAGTTCTTTGATATTCTGTTCAAGAAGAATACTTCAAAATTGTAGTTCCCCTACAAGGTTATAATTGAGATTAGTCTTGAAAGTACATTTTTGGGGATGTGCATTACCTGCAATGAGCGAAATATGTCTTAAGGAGATTTGTAATCGTATACATTACTTCAAGTTAAATTTCCATCTACTTCTGTGTTTTCTTTGTACCAATCAATTTCTAACAAAAACAATTTAATTTAAACTAAATTAATTATTTGTTTTAGAAAAGTCAAGTTTTATTAGATAAGTTGAGTTGACATTGCGCCTCATGGTTATTGAGGCTAGTCTTGAAAGTACATTTTTGGGGATGTGCATTACGTGCAATGAGCGAAATATGTCTTAAGGAGATTTGTAATCGTATGCATTACTTCAAGTTAAATATCCATCCACTTCTTTGTTTTCTTTGTACTAATCAATTTTCTAACAAAAACAACTTAATTTAAACTAAATTAATTATTTGTTTTAGAAAAGTCAAGTTTTATTAGATAAGTTGAGTTGACATTGCGCCTCATGATTATCATTTAGGTCTGAAATTTCTCCATTTTCTTATTCATGGATGTTGACGAAATATTTGTTTCGTTTAAGTTATCACAAGTGCACAGTTGATTAACTAGTAATAAAATAAAATTTGAGTCCAGATATCGTTCCCACTGAGGTTGTACTAGTTCATGTGAAAATTAATTTAGCCTTAACCAAAACAATGAAAATTTATGATTTTTCTATAATTAAATTGTAACCAGTTAAATTGCGCATGAATGTAGAACCTAAATTAATTAAAATCAATGCAAGATTACGATTAAACGCAAGTTTATAAAAAATATGATGATGGATAGTGTACTAGAATCTCGAATCCCTTTATATTAATCCCGTTAACTTCAAAACTTATAAATTTGAGAATACGATTCAATTATGAAAACCAGTATTTCTAATTTATTTAACAATCTCTCTCAAGTAAAATTAAACATATTTTTACATGTGATCTAACTATATAACAATGCATTAAGAATTTATGAATGCTTAGTGATCATGTAAAACATAGCGGTATATTCATATTTCATATCGAACTCTTTGACAATTGACATTGCGTCAAACTTATTTTCAATTTTTCGAAGATAAAACAAGTCTTAAAACTCATACAACTACTGCGCATATGATTGCAGAGAAAATTAAATTCATGGCAATCATTCAAGAATAAAAAACGTGCTTTAAATGTCAAAAGGAAATAAAATCATGATTTAAATGTTTATGATACAAGCTACAT